AGGACTTGGGCAGCTATCCTAAGTTATGTAAATTAATGTTAACACAATAGACACTCTAAATCTATTTTCTTCAACTGGAAAACAAAATAATAAAAGGACAATGTATTTGAAAATATATGTGACTTTTGACTGGGCACATTTTCTGATGTTTGCCTTGAATAGTAATTTCTCACTGGACCAATACAATTTCTAAATTACTTGGTTTGAACTTGTATATGCTTCTTTGATGATGATATTATCTATTGCTTAACATAATTTGTAGTGTATTCCTTGCATTTTACTTTTTGAGTAATATCTGCATGACTCTCTACCTAGCACTACATATCCCTTTCATAGGCAATTTTTCTGATATAGAAGCTTAGAAAGTGTCACTAAACTAGTTACTGTTACACATTTATTTCTTGACAGTGACAACAATGTGCCAAAATGTTTTATCCGTTCTCAGAAAAACAATATTCAAAGTATTATGAAGAATGAACAGTTTAAAGAAAACAATAATCACAAAATGTTTTACGATCTTTGCAAAAAATGATGTGTTCTCTATCCAACTCTTATCTTCTACAGGTAAAAGATTTCTACAGTCTTGGAGACAGTAATGCAAAATCTCTATGGTGATTAACTAAGCCTTCACCGCAATGTTTCTATTTCTCTGTCTTTTGCTGGGGAAAAGTAAAAGTTTCAAGCATGTATCTGTATTTGAATTTGGACATTACTTAGTTTTTAAAAAGTTACTTTAAACTTTCACCATAATGAACAATAATTTCAATTGGAAGGCTAGTGTCTAAAAATACTGCTTTTTTAGAAATTCTTTTTTAGAAATTTATTGGCAGCCACTGAGAAGTTTGTTGCCCCTGCCTAAAAAATACATAAACAATGTGACAAATCTGTTTTGCCACAGACACAGGCCAAAATGGAGACATGTGAGTCCCCATGGTATCCTGCATATATTTGACTCTCTGTAGGCTTTGTGACCTATTGGAGTGTCTATTTTAAGGATTATATGCAACTGAAATCTGAGAATCACTCACACTGGGACAGAGGTGGGTGGTATTTTGGAAAGCAAACTCACAAACAATTCCAAGATTTACAGGTGGCCCGTATCCCAAAACTGGTCTGTACCAAAACTGACACTGAAAGTGGGATCTGGATTTTGTATTTAGGTCCATCTATATTTTAAAAATTTATTCTTTGGTTGTCTCTTACTTTTCTCTCTTCCTTATTTGTCTTTATATCCTTTGGAAGTTCTCTGAAAGTTTGTCTAGCAGTAGTGGAAGTACCAGAGTAGATTTCTTAGGGTTGTCATTCAGTACTAAGGACTATGGTAGCTAAGCTTCTCAGAGTGTAAAACTAAACAAAAGCAGTTTCTGTTGAGCCCTGTATCTCTACACTGTTCAGCTATGTTATTCACAGGCTCCTACCAGGCAAACTTCTGAAAGTTTCCCAACTTATTTAAATTATCTAAAACTAAATCTTCTGATATGATGATGTCATTACTGGAGGAAATTTATCTGATATTTCGTAATCAAAAAACAGTGGTTATCACCAGCTTGGTTTCAGATGAATTTTTTTTTAGCTGTATTATTATTATTTTATAAAAAAAATAGTTTTTAAATTACTAGTTTCAGTTTCATAAATTGGAAAATCCTGAAACAATGAAGAACATAATTTTCCCATCTGTGACTTCTCTTTGGGGAGATTTTTAGGTTTCTTGATACTGATGATAGTTTTTAAAAATATAAAGGCTTACATGTAATATAAAATATATCTACTTACATTTTTAATTTGTGGTTGAAAACCCAACAATAGTACTTAAAACCATTCTCAAAATGCTGCAGGGTTTAGACTTTGCAATTTCTCTCAACTCTTGTGTTCATCCTTAGGAATTACTCATCTTTGATAATCTGGCTATCTAGACCAGATGCCTCACTTAGGTTGTGCTTCCTTTCAAACCTGAGTGTCCCTAGTTAAAAGCCTGAAGTTTTTAAGGTGACCCATCCTTTGCTGGCTCTTCAACTTTCTAATAATTCAAAAATCTTTATCAATCTCAATGATATCTAGCAACCTTTACTTAACTTAATCAAGTACTATCTTTTACCAGTGGAAAATATATCTCAATGTTACTGGTTGTTCCTTTTCCCCCTACAATTAGTTATTTTGCGTGCTCCCATAATAGCATCCCACATACCTTCTTTCACATCTAATAGTTCTCTATGTTACAGCTTTCTCTCCTCATATGGAAATCATTCCAGGTTTCTAATTATTTCCATTGTCCTATTCTTTTCTGGACCATTTCCATTTCTGCTATATCCCTTATGAAATTAGATGACTAAGGTTTACCAAAGTATTAAGACAGAAGTGGTGTCACTGATTTATGTATCACATTTTGTTATTCTCTATCTCCAAATAAACACCAGTTCTCACAGTATATTTTATGTTTTGAACATTAGTGTATGCATAGAGACTTGTGTAAGACTATCTAAACTTCATATTTTTGTGTGAATTTAGAGTAGCTCCAGTTGAACTTCCAGCGTGTATACTTTTCCATCTTCAACATGTATTCGCACAGACTGCAGCTGCTATTATTTTTTGGTACAACCAAATGCTTTAATATTCAGCCTTCATTAGAGTGGTCTTGTGCTCCAGGATAATATTATTATTTTAACTTAAGCTCTCTGGCTCCTTTTTCAGCTGTGAATGTACTTAGCAAAAAATGTTGGTCAGCTAGGCTTGAACAGGTAGTTAAGTGGAAATATTTCTGCAACTATTTCTCTTTAAATTCTTCTCTTTAAATAAAAAAGGTATCCAAGGAACATTCCAAACATATTAATATGCAAAAAGTCCAAAATCAAGAGTTTGAGTTAGGCTATTAAAATTATATTTAGGCATTTAACTGTGCTGAGCATCTTTTGCTTCCACAGTTCCTCAGAAGTAAAAAAACCTGCTGAAAATTCAGGTTTTCAGGCACCTGAATTTGTACTCAGGAGCCCAATTTTAAACATTCACTTCTGTAATCCTCACTCAAAATTCTTATAAGCAGCTGAGGAAAATAAGTTTAAGAAAAATGTTGGTTTGTTTGTTTTATTTTCTTTGAATCAAAATCAAAATTATTAGAAAATCTGTCTGTAACCTTAAAAAGAGCTTGCAGTATATCTCTGTATGAGAATAATATATCTTTCATTTTGATATTAATTTTAAAGTACTCCTGAGCTCTATTAGAACACCCTGGACACATCTTTGCCAGGTTTCTTTGCCAAAAGACCATAAAACATAATAAAGGATTTGCATTGCATCACAATGTTTCTCTACCGATGAGAACAGCCTACTATGAAGGATGTTATTTAATTCAAAATGCTGGGGAACAGTATAACAGAATAAGCAGAAGGGAACATTTAGAATGAACGTGAGGGGGAAAAAGAGTTGTTTTTTTTTTAAAAAAAAAAAAAGTAGTCTATCAACACGGCCCAAGCACGCAACACTTCCAAAGGAAGAGATGTAATCCTCGTCACTGGAGCAGTTCAGATTTAAGCCACACAAGTTGCATGGGAATATATAATAGAGAGAAAACCCACACTGCCTCGAGCGGAATAGTTTGAATGATCTAATATGTCCTTCTGCCTCTTAAACAGAGCATTGAAAAATGATGCAGGTGACAAGGTTTTGACCAGCGGGCTAGGGTTGTTGTTTGGGGGTTTAGTTTTTTGCTTTTTGTTTTTTAGATAATTTATGGCACTTAGAGCTCTAGAATTACAATGAGCAAATATGCTGGGCTCTTTAGACTGCTGGTACTTAACCTTGCACAGACCTCTTTCATCCATACTTCCACACTCACTGAATGACTAGCACAGTTTGCACATCTACAGTTTCTCTCTAGGCTTACCCTGTACCCTTTCTCAGAAGGGTTTTGATGGCTTCTTCCCAGATGGATATTATTTTCTTTCCTCAACTTTATTTCCCGCAGTATTTTTAACCCTCTTCATACCACACCAGGCACAGCTGTTAATCCCCTTTTAGCTGTTATTCTTCACATATGTCTTTTCTCTTATATCCTCCCTTTTCTTCTTCCCTCTTCTGTATGACTTTGCCCTGTTTTCTGCACTTACTAGTTTATTCTTTCCAGTGTCCTATTTCTGTCCTTTACAGTGGTCTCCATTCACCCATCTCCCTTAAACAGTTCTGATGAAAGGAATTTCTTTCCAGAGACATTCTGCAGTTTCTTTAGCACTCAAAAACTCAAATCCTATCTGAATTTCTTTCTCAGTGTCTGTAAGAAACCTGTTTACTAAGAAAGGCAGACTTGAGGAGAATTGTCCTAGAGTCTTTGTCAACCCCTTCTTTCAAAAGATATTATTTCTCTTTTGTGTTTGTAGTGTGCCTAATGCACCCAGAAACAAACGAAAAAAATGCAGCAAGGCAGAAGGAAGAAAAATGATCCCTTATTATAAATAAAATCTCATTCAAGAGAAGGGATTAATCTTTTGGATGTCTACAGCACCATCAGTGCCTACATCCAAGTTCATCAACATTATAACCCGTATATATGTATAAAGTTCTGGGTTACTTTCCTTCATTTTGTACCCTGTTCTCTCCAATGACTGTAAAGGAAGCCTAGAGTAATATGTAGAAAACCAGTCATATACAAAATTAACATCCACAGTTGTTTGGATTACTCCCAGTAGAAGGACAGAGATGCTCAGAGGAAAAATCAGTATTGCTAATGTGAAGTCAGTGGAATTATGGCGTATGTCAGCTATGGTCAAGGCATTACAATTCAATGATGTTAAATTCAAAAAAATAAAAAATGGCCATCAGTACATGGGTCAGCCTCAGCCCTGTCTGAACCTTATTTCATTTGTGGGTTCTCATCAGCTCTTTTGTGCTCAATTATAATATTGTGTTCTTTCTTGGAATAAGCTCATTAAGTTCTGCCTTTCCAAAATTGAGGATTTACTGCAGAAGAAATTTCTTAGCACTTCTAATGTTTTATAATGTTACTTTCTTACCTCCTTCCTTGGAACAGAGGGTGATTAGAGTGTGAACTGTATCCATCAATTCAAGCTGCTGTTTCTGCAGGACACTGTTATTGCTTGTTGCCTTGTTTAACTGCCTCTCTAGTTCCTGGATTATGTAGCTTTGTCGTGTGACCAAGCTTTGTAGGTTCTCTTTTTCCTCCTTCAAAGTGTCCAGCTCCTCTTTATGTCTTTCTTCCATTTCTAAAATTCTGTGTTCAAGTAAACTAAAGTGAAATAAAACAATTAATAGATATTATTTCATGCCAACATATTTATTAATACAGAAAACAGAATTATTTTATTTTTCACCGTAGAATTCAGTACATAAAAATGTCACATCTACTAATTCAGTCCATTGATTCCTCTATCAAACAGCCAAATATAATTGCTCTTTAACATTCCATTTCGTGATTTTTGCACGCTGTAGTGCTTAGAGTAAATTGCCTAGAACTGCGTATCCAGTTGTTACACCCATCCAAGAGCATAAGCATAGGCCGGTAACACATTTGTATATAGAAATTTAGGCAGAAAAGCCAAAGGTAGGCAAAGGAGGGCATCAAAGAGGACATCATTGGTAGTATGGATGAGTGAATATGGTAAGAGACAAAAATCGGGGATAAACTAAGGAAGAGTTTGTGAAGAGCCTTACCACTGAGTGGAAGACAAGCATTAGGAGCTATGGAGCACCACCAAAGGATATGGATCCCACAGTAACAGTAACATTTGATGTGGTCTGTGAAGCTGGTAAAGGAACTGTGCACCAGATGAACGGTATCTGCTTTCACATTAAGAATACTACTTTCTCCCCAAAAGATAAATCCGAAGTTTGCATTTTAAGAGAGGATTCCCTTGCTTGCCTTGAGTCCACATAGATATTCCGCTCCCCATGCCTTGTGTGGTTCCTCAAAAGTCTCCTCAGACAGAAAACTGTTTGGAGTCATACTATGTGACCTGCTTACATCAATTTTTATGAATAATTTCGCACATATGTGGAAACACTTTCTCCTGACTAATATTCTTTTTCTAGTGCCCTCTCTGTCCTGAGTCAGAAGTGTACAATTTACAAAGATCAAAGGCATGCCAGATTATATCTAGAAGCATAGGGGAGTCGTAGACATAAAGGACAGCTAATATCTGTCAACAGTGAACAATAACTTTTTTCAGGCCAGTGCTTTGATGCTGTGGTGGGAGTTTAAGCAGAAAGATTTTATTAATATTAGATAAAGAAATTAATTCAATCCCTCTGCTACTTTCTCTTCAGTAATTCTACTGTAAATGCCAAAAGAGGTGTTTCTCATGCCCATAAACCAACTGGTGGTTACCAACTTGCCAACAAACTGCTTCCTGTTCAAGTCAGTCTTAGGTTTTATTTATTTGCACTCTCCCCCCACCTTTGTTTTTACTTCTGGATAATAGATCAGTGGCAAAATGCCTGCATAATTTCAGGTCATTTAACCTAACTGAAGAATGTAATTAAATCCATATGGAGTTGTTTCTACTAGATATCACAGTGCCTTAATATGAGCTGTTACAAATGATAACAATTCAAAGATTAAATTCAGGCCCTGGATTTGCTGTACAAGCTAGAGTAATATAACACTTTTTCTTCTTTTTTTTTTTTTTTTTTTAAATAAAAGGAGTCAAGCAGCAAATCTCTTTTTCTGAAATGTTATAAATGTGGGACTTAGAAAAATATTGAAGAAAATGTACTATGTAATATCAACATATCTAGTTCTGTGAAAACCAGAAAGATCTGGGTAAAGGAGGGGGGGAGAAAAGATGGGAAGGGAAAACACTTTTTCATGGGGTCTCAAATGCAAAGGGGAACATGATATCTCATTCTTAAAGGCTCATTAATTAGTAATGAAAGCATAACAAGATTCAGTGGACTGGAATCAGATGATAGAAAGTTTCAATCTGAAACAAAGCATGGATTTTGAAGCCAAAGACAATAAATTATTTTAATACCTTACCAGACCTGTAGATTATTTTTTTCATCACTTGAACTCTAACATCAAACACAATGCCTTTATGCTCTACACTCATATGGATTTTTTGGAGAATATTTATGCAGAAGTCTTTAAGCTTTGTTATGCAGAAGGTCAGACTAATTAGCTTAGTTCGGCAGAAATGGTTGAAAATGTTCCGATGGAACTGTTTTTTCTCATAAAATACTGTTCAAAAAAAAAAAAAAGTTCTATGTGAATTTTATCAGTTCTCTCAACCTTTTCATGGAAATTATTGAAATACTCATTTTGAGTCTAGATTTTAACTTTTCTGATAGACTTTAAGTTATATCGATGTGCTTTGGAAAGGAACAAGGTGGGCCCTGGGCACAGCCTGTGATAGAATGCATGCTAGGTGTGGCCACATCCCACTCTGACATCTTACAGCCCATTGAAAATGTTGTATATTGTTAATGTAAGACAAGATGTCATTCTTTAAGCCAGAATATTGCTTTATAGTTATATGGTACATAAAGGTAAAAAAAGTTCCCTTGATCTATGTCCATATCCTAGTACTGTACAGGGCATTTCCCTAATTCCACAACACCCTCTTTGCACGTTCACATCTGAATGACTTCCATATTGGAATGGTTTCATGTAAAAGGCCTGGTCTTTCAGAGCAACAGTTTGTGCATTGCATTATTTGTTTCCCACCAAAACCTAAGACCATAGTAAATGAACCCATGTGATGACAGTCTTATTTGTAGCAACACTGGCCATGTCAAGCAAGAAGGAAGAATATTTAGGGCTTCCCAGTTTGGCATCTACAGACACGGACAGCAAGCAGATGTTTTATGGCTTTAGTAATAATACATCCTAATATTTATGAGTAGTGTGTCAACAACATGTGGTAGAAAGATGGGAGTGTCACAGCACTTAGTTCCTTTACAGTTTTCTATGTAGATTAAAAGTCCTGTTATTATAAACTGCAAAACTAAGCTATTTTAAGGAATGCATATGCATTTATACAATGATCTTTCTATATCCATAAATCTACAATAACAGATAAGAATAAGTCCTGAGGATAGGACCACTCCCTGTATTCCCAGGAGAAATCCAAAACATTCATTGTGTTTTACTAAGAATCAATGAGAAACCTTTGGTCAAAGGTCCAAATGAATAAAAGTAAAAATTTCACATAGATTGGGGATTTCTACACTGGCTTGTTCCAAAATCCTTAAACAGCATGAGAAAAGCTGCTTTTGTGTCCTTTGACTATAATGTGGCCAGAATTTTTCATTTGTACTGTTACATTCATATTTATTATAGCTCATTATAATAAAAAAATGCTAGAAACTTTATAAAAAAGTCTTGAAATAGGTTGAAACCAATTACAAACATATTTAGATATTTTGTTTTAGTAATTGTGAGACCACTCTGTTCTCTGTTTTTTCCTTGTGACATCAGACAATTTCTAACAGACAAATATCACGAAGAAACAACTTTTCTGAGTGCTTGTTAAAGATATTTTCTCAATTTTTTAAAGGGGCATTGTGAAGGCAGTTAAAATGAAAATATTTTTACTAGTTTTCATTAATGACTACTGCTGAAATAAAATATTAAAGAAAACAAATAGGCATCTGTCTCTATACCAATTAATCAAGCAATCTGTAAAGATTAACTGAAATTGTTATATAACATTATTTTACAACACTTTCCAGTAAAATGTTATGGTCATTACATAATGACTGGCTCTATTTTACAGTAAGTTTACTGTATATATTTGCTGTACATTTGAAATTCCTATAGATTTCCTATATGTTTGAAAACATTACTGACCTAGACAAATGAAGCAGTCAAGGGAACTACAATACTCACAATAAAAATAAATCACCATTCACTAGGAGCATCATGTATATACATATGTATGTATACACATGCACATACACATAACGTATATGTGGTTTTTGAAATTGTAGCCTTCAGTCTGGGGAAACAAATCAAGCATTTGGGGAACAGAAAGAAGTTGTGAAAAAACAAATGTTGTTGTTAACATGGATAAATATCAATATTATCCATTGGACAATGACTCTTTGGAGTCATTATCTAGATGACAATTAAATGAAAACAAACACCAACACCACCACCCCACTCCCAAATCCAGACAAACTTCCTAAACTTTTCCTAAAGGTTAACCATGTCTCAATGTCTAACCTACTGATCTTGGCGAGACTAGGAATCTATTTTCAACCATACAAATGATGTGTTAACTTTGTCAGGAAGCAAGCCAGTGGGATGCCTCGCTGCAACTGTGCTGTGTCCAGCTGATTCAGAAAAAGCCCTCTGATAACGCTGGAGAGGGTAGAAGGCCCATACAGAAGTCAAAGAATGACTTCCAGGGAAAGCTGCTGTCATTTTGAAAGGTGATGAAGTAGAACATATAGAAAGCACTCTAGTAGGTCTCTGGGGAGGAAGGAAAGTCTGGTTTAGACAATCTGCCTTATAAGGTAGGTAGTTTATTCACTAATCCATTCCAGACCATGGCAGTTTAAGAGATATTTTTTTTTTTTATCTTTGTTTTCGGAGGCCTCAGTTTAGACATTTGAGAACAGGATATAGACCAGATCTTAGAGATGGACATCTTTTGCATTAAAATAATCTTTTAAAAAATCTGGAGATATTAAAAATACAGATAAAAAGATTTACATTGTTGAACTATTCAATAAATAAAGACAAGTAACGTCACACTAGAAAAAGATTCTTTGTTTGTATACACGTGGTTTTCTTGTATTACATATGTGTGGGAAGACAAACAGGTAGAGGATTCAAATGCATACTTTTGAGTGCAAGAATGGTATTTTCTCACTGAGACAGTTTCTTTGTGCTTGCTGTTACATGAGTGAAATTTTTCCTGTGTTGTTAGGTGCTGACCACTCATACTTACTTTGTTGATCTGATATAGTCTGATCAGTTTAAGGAAATGTAAAAAATATGTGTTGCCATATTTATCAAGACCAGTAAAGTAATTGGTCACTTAGCATCATTAAGCCTATTTTGTATACCTGTGACAACATAATTCCATTGAAATCACAAAAGTGAAGTGAAAAGTCTGGATTTGTCTTTTTATTATATGTGAAACCTGCAAGTAGACATGTTGTGCTTCCTTATCTGTCACACAGTCAAATGAAAATTCAAGAATCATTCCTGAGCCCTTGCTTTTCATAGGATACAATTCTTGTACTGAGTGTGTTAATCTAGTTCGATAGTCTGCAAATTGA